TGGGGAGGCGCCGGTAGGAGATGGATAGGATGATAGGGAGGGGGCGGAGTAGGAAATGGATGGGATGATGGGGAGGGGGAAAGTAGGAAATGGATAGGATGATCTGGAGGGGGTGGATTAGAAAATGGATAGGATGATGGGGTGGGATACAAAGTGCAGAACTGTACATTTACCCGTTAATTAAGAGGAATTTTAATTATGCACCATCCGTCAAACTCAAAATGCACTGCTTATATAATCATCCATGTCTAGTCTGACTGTACTAGCTGGACCCACTTTCTATAGGCATTCCTCTCTCTTGTAAAGAACTGTGAAGCCTTGTGCCTGTATCTCCCTTGGTGGTGGTCTTTGTTGATTTACTTTTAAATGACACGTGCCTTTCAACACACAGTCTTCTTACAGCACTGACTGGGTTTTTTTCTCCTAGAGTACAATGAATTGTATTCAGTGATGAAACTTACCCGGATTTATCCAGAAATCCAGATATCGGCACGGCAGTAATATGTTTCCCGGATTTTCATTGATTTTCCGTCCCTGGTGAAAATACACATTCTAGCTAGTTCTGTTTTGAGCCGCGTGTTATGTCAAGCTGTCAAGCGAAATAATCAGCTTTTCATCCAACAATCGGCAACATGTACAGAGTGGTAGATCAGTCACACAATATGAAGGACGTCAAAAAAAATATCAGAAATGTCTTTAGCTGGAAATGGTTGGAGGAGGAGGATTGCAACGGAGATTTTTTGTTGGATTATGTCCAGAAAATAGACCACAGAGATGCCACGTTTCCGATTTTCATCGGAAATTTGACTTTTTGGTATTTTTTCCCTAAATCTGATTTTCCCCTTCAATGTTGTCAACATTGACAAAATTAAATAAAGAAGAAAAGACTGGAAGCAGATCTATGATGCGCACATATCCTGCGCTGCGCCACTGGCTATTTAATTTGATCTTGTGCACACTCATCAGTAGAGTGCTTACGTTAGTCATATTGTGGTGCAAAATATGAAGGACAGTGTTGAGTGGTGTCGTCAGTGCCTAGAAATACGTTTAAATATTGACCTTTAACGCATGTACGGTAAATTGCTTGTCATGGACAGCTCGATGCATGCACATGCAACATGTGTGATGCATGAATGTACACAGCAAACGTACATTGTACATTGGATGATCAACACGTGAATTGACTTTATGTTTGAGGGCCGACAAAATGCAGCATCTAATTGTCAACAGAAATGAGGATCTTCATGATATTGAAAAAGATGTCAAGGACAGATTTCAGTGGATATGGCTCGAAGAAAAGGATAACAGTGGTGATTTCTTTTCTACTTATGTTAGAAAGCTTTATGTGCTAAGTAAGCCTACCAACTGCCGTCATGACTATAACACTGCATACAGTACTTCCGATCGGGCGGAAAGCTTTCGTATCTTTTTGAGTAAAAACAGCAGGCTGGCCTACATGTAGGCTGCAACTCATTTCTGTGACCGACCAGCGATGATCAAGAAAGAACTTTTTTGTTTTATAGCCGACTACATGAAGAAGATGCACGTTGTGTACATGCACCCAGACCCATGCATTAATACGTATAAAACTGACACCGTGCGATTACCAGATTTTTTTGGCATAGGCTAGTGGCATAGGCTAGTGGCATCCCTGAGACCAGCAGGGATTTGCAAGTTGTTTGTGGTGCAATGACAGACTCAAGTACAGCTCTTCCGGTGAGAACTTGAAAAACCACGCCAAGTCAAAGAAACATAGCAAAATACGCGAGGTAATGAACAATACACCTACCATTCCAGCCGTTTTTGCAGCCAGCCGGGCCATGGTTGACTGTGTAGATGACCCACCAGTAGGTCTAATGACAGGCCCTTGCCGTATGGTGCACCTTCGAATGTTGCTGATCCTGTAGATATGCAAGCTGCAAACAGATCCATGCCAACACCCAGTGTGAGTGTCATTGATCGAAAAGCACACAGGGATGCTCTGCTAACATCTTTCATGGTAGAAAACAACACACAGTAAACTCTGACTAAGTCGACATCGCGTAAACGGTCATATCATCCAAGTCGGCCGTTTCACAAAAGTCCTGATCGTCTATAATGCATTTCCATTCAAAATTTCATTTCTAAGTCGGCATTTATACGTCGTCATTTTGTATGTCTTGGCATGTTTTTCTCGGTCGCTTTTCCACAAAACCACAAAAATTCCTTTGTGTAAGTCGTCATTAAAAAAAAATGTGCTTCGGCATCAGTTTCCTTCGCCACGGTTGCCAAGAAGTGTCAAGTGACAAGTCCCGTGCGCACGCGGCCAGCACGAGTACATCAATACCAGTAACCCCTCTAGTGCTACATGCATGCGCCCTGTCCATTTTGGGGGTCGTCTTATTGAACATAGTCTGGTTCCCTGCCCAAAGATTCCCAGACGACCCTTGATAATGATTTGTCAGGTAGTCAGAATCATCGGGTCTGGTATCCAGACTATATGGAACGAACTTAACCAATGCGCGTGTGTGGACGAGTGTATGTTTTCTGTACCGCAACTGTATCACGTACATACGTCATACTGCATACCCTTCATACTGCACTATCGAGTTGCAATGTGCAACTTAGCAAGTGGCTTGCCGTCCTTGCTTCGTCCTTAGGGGCACATGATCAATTATTGAATTTGCAGGATAATAATAGAGAACACGTTTGCTGGGATCAACCATGGAGGTAGAAATAAACCAGGGTAAATCAAAACCACTGAATTAGTGCAAGGAATCATAATGTACATTGGCAATACATGTGTATGTGTACATGTACATGTAAATGGGCAAAATGACAACATACGACACAAGTCGGCATTCGCGTAAGTCGTCACAATTTCTTGAGTCCCGAGAGTGCCAACTTAGCCGGAGTTTACTCTACCATTTTCGTTGGCCCCTGCTCTGGTTGATCTGTGTAAGGAAATGTCACGTGACCCAAAGGCCCTTGATATGCTGAGCATGTCCCGCATAACTGCCTCCTACAAGGTGAGGCA